GTGCAACCCCCATGGTGGTCAGTGCCTGTGCAAACCTGCAGTGGTTGGGCGCCGCTGTGACCTCTGTGCCCCTGGCTACTATGGCTTTGGCCCCACAGGCTGTCAAGGTATCACCTGCCCCTTTTTCTCTCCTGTTCTCTCCACACACTGCCCCCACCTCTGCCCCGCTGCCACTACTGTTCTCCCTCCTTCCTCTGGCTCTGCTTCTTCCTTCTTCCAACTCTGCTTTGGACCCCATACTCTCAGCCCTGGTCACTTGCAGTTCTCTTCCATTCCCTGACCTTCTACCGTGACCTCACCCAAACTCCCCTCAAACCCTCTCCCTGGCTCAGCCTCTGCCTTGCCCCCAGCCTGCCAGTGCAGCCCTGAGGGGGCACTCAGCGGCCTGTGTGAAGCAACCAATGGGCAATGCCCCTGCCAAACTGGTGCATTTGGGCTTCGCTGCGACCACTGCCAGCGTGGCCAGTGGGGATTCCCTAACTGCCGGCCGTGTGTCTGCAATGGGCATGCAGACGAATGTGACCCCCACACAGGCGCTTGCCTGGGATGCCGTGACCACACAGCGGGTGAGCACTGTGAAAGGTGAGCCTGAAGCAGCTATGAGTGAGCTGGTGGGTGGGCGGGCTGCTCAGGGATGACACAGCTCTTCCTCCTTCTCCCTGAAGGTGCATTGCTGGCTTCCACGGGGACCCACGGCTGCCATATGGGGGCCAGTGCCGGCCCTGTCCCTGCCCTGAAGGCCCCGGGAGCCGGCGGCACTTTGCTACTTCTTGCCATCGGGATGGGTACTCCCAGCAGATCGTGTGCCACTGCAGGGCAGGCTACACAGGTGAGTGGGTAAGGTGCAGGCGTGGGATCAGGGTGGGGCAGCTGGGCTGAGCACTCATGCCTTCCCCCGACTGTGGGCAGGGCTGCGGTGTGAAGCTTGTGCCCCTGGGCACTTTGGGGACCCATCAAGGCCAGGCGGCCAGTGCCAACCATGCGAATGCAGTGGTAACATTGACCCCACGGACCCTGATGCCTGTGACTCCCACTCGGGGCAATGCCTGCGCTGCTTACACCACACAGAGGGGCCGCACTGTGCCCACTGCAAGCCTGGCTTCCATGGGCAGGCTGCCCGACAGAGCTGTCACCGTGAGTGTGGGTATGGAGGGGGTGGCTGAGGTGGGGCTCCCTGCTCCAGCTCTCCTTAACCAGTGTGCTCATCTTGGCTGGCATAGGCTGCACCTGCAACCTGCTGGGCACAGATCCCCAGCAGTGCCCATCCACTGACCGGTGCAACTGTGACCCAAGCAGTGGGCAGTGCCCATGCCTCCCCAATGTCCAGGGCCCTAGCTGTGACCGCTGTGCCCCCAACTTCTGGAACCTTACCAGTGGCCATGGCTGCCAGCCCTGTGCCTGCCACCCAAGCCGAGCCAGAGGCCCCACCTGCAATGAGGTATGGTACCTTCCTGTGGATCCCTGGGGAGATGGGGCCAGCTGCCTGCCTCACGTCTTGAGTGTTCAGCCTCTGACTGACCTCTGCCCTGTTCCCACTCTAGTTCACAGGACAGTGCCACTGCCGTGCTGGCTTCGGTGGGCGAACCTGTTCTGAGTGCCAGGAGCTCCACTGGGGAGACCCTGGGTTGCAGTGCCGCGGTAAGGGGGCTCGTGGGGCCAGGGTGGATGGGGGACTTCCAAGGATGCCCCACTGGCGCCCTAACTCTGTGATCTTCCCTTTTCCTGCAGCCTGTGATTGTGACCCTCGTGGGATAGACACACCTCAGTGTCACCGTTCCACAGGTCACTGCAGCTGCCGCCTGGGCATGTCTGGCGTGCGCTGTGACCAGTGTGCCCGTGGCTTCTCAGGCGTCTTTCCTGCCTGCCACCCCTGCCACGCGTGCTTCGGGGACTGGGACCGTGTGGTACAGGACCTGGCTGCTCGTACACGGCGCCTGGAGCAGTGGGCGCAGGAGCTGCAGCAGACGGGTGTGCTGGGTGCCTTTGAGAGCAGCTTCTGGCACATGCAGGAGAAGCTGGGCACTGTGCAGGGGATTGTCGGTGCCCGTAATGCCTCAGCTGCCTCCACTGCACAGCTCGTGGAGGCCACAGAGGAGTTGCGGTGCGGATGGGCCTGAGGATACATGGTGGGATGGGGCAGAGGCCCGATGCATTAGGGCTGAAGTCTCTATAAATAATATCTCCTCATCACCCCATGCAGGCGTGAAATTGGGGAGGCCACTGAGCACCTGACCCAGCTGGAAGCAGAGCTCACAGATGTGCAGGACAAGAATTTCAATGCCAACCATGCACTAAGCAGTCTAGAGCGAGACGGGCTTGCACTTAATCTCACACTGCGGCAGCTTGACCAGCATCTGGACCTGCTCAAGCATTCAAACTTCCTGGGTGAGTTGTTGGCCAACTAGGCGGGTGGATCAGGGTTGATCTTCAGCTGAGTGCCTGCCTCTGCCCGACTTAGGTGCCTATGACAGCATCCGCCATGCCCACAGACTGTCTGCAGAGGCAGAACGTCGTGCCAACATGTCAGCCCTGATGGTGCCCAGCCCTGTGAGCAACTCAGCAGGCACACGGCACCGGACAGAGGTGCTGATGGGTGCCCGAAAGAAGGACTTCAACCGCAAGCACATGGCCAACCAGCAGGCACTGGGAGAGCTCTCTGCCCGTACCCATGCCCTGAGTCTGACAGGCATAAATGAACTGGTGAGGCACAAGTGTCGGGTGGGACATATGGGTGTGGCTGTTCCTTCCCCCAGACCCTGACTTGTTCTGTGCTTGGCAGGTGTGTGGGTCCCCGGGAGATGCACCCTGTGCTACGAGCCCTTGTGGGGGTGCCGGCTGTCGGGACGAGGATGGGCAGCCCCGTTGTGGGGGCCTCAGCTGCAGTGGGGCAGCAGCCATGGCGGATCTGGCGCTGGGTCGGGCCCGCCACACACAGGCAGAACTGCAGCGGGCATTGGCAGAAGGTGGTGGCATCCTCAGCCAGGTAGCTGAGACCCGTCGGCAGGCAGGCGAGGCACAGCAGCGGGCCCAGGCAGCCCTGGACAAGGCTAATGCTTCCAGGGGACAGGTGGAACAGGCCAACCAGGAACTGCGGGAACTTATCCAGAGTGTGAAGGACTTCCTCAGCCGTGAGCCTCCCTTGTGGCCCAGGCCATGTGGTGTTTCCCCCGTGTCTGTGTTCATACTTGGGTCAGGGCCTGCACTGTACCTGTGTTTGTGACCACAGATGGGCAAGGGCTCAGGGTGTCTGGACCCTAAGCCCGTGCCCATATGTAGTCCCCAAGTCCACGACCCTGAATCTATGTCCCATGTATAGTCCCTGTCATTGTGGTTACATCCTTATGCCTATTAGCAAATCCATACCCGATGTGTGGTCCCTGAGTCCATACCCCAAGACTGTGTCCCCATGCCCGTGCTGGGGAATCTGTGTCCTTAAGCCCTTGCCTGTGTCCCCATAGAGGAGGGGGCTGATCCTGACAGCATTGAGATGGTGGCCACACGGGTGCTAGAGCTCTCCATCCCAGCGTCACCTGAGCAGATCCGGCACTTGGCGGGCGAGATTGCAGAGCGGGTCCGGAGCCTGGCAGATGTGGACACGATCCTGGCGCGTACTGTGGGAGACGTGCATCGGGCAGAGCAGCTACTGAAGGATGCACAGCGGGCACGGTCTGACCCCAACCTTGGACCCCATCCTTGACACCTAGTTCTGATACTTGCAGGTCCTGATTCCCTCTCTTCTCCAGGAGCCGGGCTGAGGGTGAGAAACAGAAGGCAGAGACAGTACAGGCAGCGCTGGAGGAGGCCCAGCGGGCACAGGGTGCTGCTCAGGGCGCCATCCAGGGGGCAGTGGTTGACACACAGGACACAGAGCAGACCCTGCACCAGGTGTGGTCTCCCTGGGACATCAGTGGGGCAAGGTTGTGAGCATGCTGCATAAACCTGTTTAACCCTAGGCCCACCCGTGGCAGGTGCAGGAGAGGATGGCAGGTACAGAGAAGGCATTGAGCGCTGCAAGTGAGCGAGCTCAGCAATTGGATGGTCTCCTGGAGGCTCTGAAATTGAAGCGAGCAGGGAATAGCCTGGCAGCCTCTAGCGCTGAAGAAACAGCGGGCAGTGCCCAGGGTCGTGCCCGGGAAGCTGAACAGGTGGGTTGAGGCAGAGCCAGTTGGAAGGGGTGGGGGTAGAGGCTGGGCCTCCACTGGGCCACCACCCTGCCCCGGACCTCTATATTTGCAGCTGCTGAAGGGCCCACTAGGTGACCAGTACCAGACAGTGAGGGCCCTGGCTGAGCGCAAGGCCCAGGGTGTGCTGGCTGCACAGGCACGGGCAGAACAACTGCGGAATGAGGCTCGCGGCTTGTTGCAGGCTGCTCAAGACAAGCTGCAGCGGCTGCAAGGTGAGGATGGGACGCCAGAGATGTGGGACTCTGGGAGAAGGACCCTTCATCTGAGACCTGTCTCTCCTAGAGCTGGAAGGCACTTATGAGGAGAACGAGCGGGCGCTGGAGGGCAAAGCGGCTCAGCTGGACGGGCTGGAGGCCAGGATGCGCAGTGTGCTTCAAGCCATCAACTTGCAGGTCCAGATCTACAACACCTGCCAGTGACCCCTACCCAAGGCCTACCCCAGTCCCCAGCCTCGCCCCGCACTTATTACTGCCTGTGCATGGAATAGTCCCCAGCCTGGCAAGGCCCCCAATAAACCAGTGTGAATCCCCCCTGTGTGACCGACTCTGATTTGGGGAGGGCCGAGTCTCTGGGCGGAACCTAGAAGCTGCCACCAGCAGGGCCCCACCGAGGCCAAAGCACCGGAGCCCCGCCTCCTCCGTTCGGCCCGCCCCGGAGCTGCTCCCGCCGGAAGTGCGTCACCAGCTCTGCGTTCAGGCACCCGCGGCCGTAACTGGAAGTGGAAACAAAACAAGCAGCTGAGGCGGTCGTGGCGGCGGCGCCGGGACGGGGGAGGGGCGCGCCGGAACCGGAACCGACCTGACGCCGGAACCGGAATCGAGAGCGGGTTGCCAGGGCCCGAAGAGGGCTGGCTGCAGCGGCCTAGCTCGGTGAGTGGGGCTGGTCGCTGCTCGCCTGTCTCGCTGGAGCGGGGAGGCCGAGACGCGGGCCTAGGGCGACCTGTTCAAGGTCACGGGCCGTACCAGTCTCCACCCCTCGAGCCCTGCGGCGTGCCGGGCCCACTGATGCAGGCGGGGCCGTTACACTAAAGCCTGTGGCCGGCCTGCCGTCTCGAAGAGGGCTGGCGGCGAGCGAGGGCGGCTTCCTGGAGGAGGTGGTGGCGGGCCCAGGGTTCGGAGGCTGGAGCTGGGTCGCAGCCCGGCCGGGGCGCTGGTCTGTGGTCAGTAACCCCGCGCGGCCCTATTTGGCCACCTTGGGTCTCTAGGCAGCCCCTTTCCCTCCTCAGCGTCCCAGGAGGAGAGGGTAGGGACGCGACCTTCAGCTGGGGCCTGGGAGCAAAGAGGTAGCAGATGTCCACCCCTCGATTCTGGACCTGTCGTCACTGAAGATCCAGACCTCCAGTCCCACATCTGACCCGTAGAAGAATCCCCCCGTCCCCCGCCAAACTTCCGCTCCCCACTCCCACACACTCACACTCGGGGGAACACAGACTAGTCACTCTCTGTCCTGCTACTGTCTCAGGCCATGCTTGAGGCTGCCAGGGGTCCTGGATCTATGGTTCGTTCATCCCCACCCTTATCTCAATTTTGAGAACTTTATTTTGGATGGAGAAACAGCCCAGAATCCACTGGTGGGTCTGTGGGAAACTGGCTAAGAGCTGATGAGGGGGTGGACGTGGGAAGGAAGGGGATAATGTCTGTTTCAGTCTCAGACTGCATGCCCACCCTGAGGCAGAGATGCTGCTGAAAGGGAAATGTGACATCTGAATACCCTTTTCACCTTAGCTTTTGCAGGCCCCTCTTTGCATAGGAGAGCAGCTGGAGAGGGGAATCTCTCCAGATGTAAGAAAACAAAAACAAAAACAAAAACCAAGCAGTGCACAGAAGCAGGTTCAGAGGAGGGTGGGAACTGGCAGGTGGCAGGTGGGGCTCCTTGACCTCAAGATGATGCCTGGGCAGTGGTAGCACCTGGGCTGGGCCTGTTTTCAGCCACAGAGCCTGGTCCTCCTGCTGTTTAATTGTCTGTCTCCTCCTTTCTTGCCTTCCTCCTACTTCTCGGGTGGTGACTAAGCAGCCAGTGAGAGTGAAGGAAAAGTGAGCAGCACCCTGCTCAGTGTGCCAGCCCTGTGGGCTGGAGCTATGGCTCCTCTCCAGATTGGAGGAGCCTCTGGTCCCAGGCCATGGCTGCCTTGACCTGACACCTCCTCAGTGAGGGTTCTCTCTTTGTGGGTCTGTATGGCAGGCATCTAGGAGGCTCAGCCAGAAGTGGTTGCTTCTACTTGCATTATTTATTCCACCTTAGGAATAGTCTGAGAGTATCCAGGGCTACATCAGGTAGTAGAGAGATATTGCTCCATAGGTTTAGAAGTGTCCCAGGTTGCTGAGCCCTGGGTGTAACCAAGGAGCAAATTTTGGGCCTTGGTAGTGATCACTTGTCCCCTTCTCGTTAGGCTGTCAGTTCCTTGCTGGAGAATTTGTCCACAAAGAGTTGCCAAGATAGCTGGGCCAGGAAGAAAGCGCCGTAGCCCTGACCCAGACACCGTTGCCGACCCCGGGGCACTCTGGCTGTCACCCAAGCGGCTCAAGATGTCTGGTGGGGCCAGCACCACAGGCCCAAGGAGAGGGCCCCCAGGACTGGAGGAGGCCACCAGTAAGAAGAAGCAGAAGGATCGAGCAAACCAGGAGAACAAGGATGGAGATCCTAGGAGAGGTGGTAGTGGCATTCCCAGAGTGCTTGTGGCCTTCCCCTCCTCCCTTCCTGTTGAGCATACAGATTGGGGACTGGGAGATGACTTTTTTGCTGTTCCTTCCATCCTGGTCTGATGCTGAGAGAAGGACCAATGGCAGGCTGGGTAGAGCCTCAGTTTTGAAGTTGGGGTACTTGGCTGAAGTCCTAAAGATGGTGTTTGGTGGGATGTTATAGTCTTGGAGGCTGCTTGTCCATCATCCTTTCCCTGTTCTTTCCTTTGTTGTCAGGGTCAGTATTCACTCAGGAGGAGCCGACCAAAGAGGGTGAGTAATGAATAAGCCTTTTGGATGATAGAGTGCTAGGGGAGAGGAGGGGGCACTGGGGATATAGCCCTTATCTAGAGCAGTTGCATTAGGGCTGGGTGTCTGGTACCTGCTTACTCCCATCAAAATTTCATGGAGACCTTCACAATCTTTTTGACACTGTCTCTGTAGAGTTGTTGCTTGATTGGAGGCAGAGTGCTGATGAGGTGTTTGTCAAGCTGCGTGTGGGAGCCCGTCCCCTGCGGCTGGAGGAGGTAGATGCTGCTTTCACAGACACAGACTGTGTGGTGCGGCTTCCAGGTATGTCCATATGCTTTGAGCCCAGCAGTATACTTGAATCCTTTGATATCCCCTACCCCAGCTCACTCCTCCCACTCTGTTGCCAGGTGGTCGGCAGTGGGGTGGTGTTTTCTATGCTGAGATAGAAAGCTCTTGCACCAAAGTGCAGGCTCGCAAAGGTGGCCTCCTGCAGCTGTCACTGCCCAAGAAGGTGCCTCTGCTCACGTGGCCCTCTCTCCTGGTAAGTTCCAGAGCAGAGTAGGGTAGGGATACTCAGTGTAGTTAACAGGGCCTGATTGCTGTATCTTTGGCAGAAGAAACCTCTTGGGACCCAGGAGTTGGCGCCAGGGCTGCGGTGCCAGGAGAATGGGCAGGAGCCGTCTCCTGTTGCCCTGGAGCCAGGCCCTGAGCCCCGCCGGGCTAAGCAGGAGGCCCGGAACCAGAAGCGGGCCCAGGGCCGTGGTGAGGTAGGCGCAGGGGCTGGCCCTGGGGCCCAAGCAGGGCCCAGTGCCAAGAGGGCCGTGCATCTCCACAGAGGGCCGGAGGGGGAAGGGTCCAGAGATGGCCCTGGACCCCGGGGTGATGCCCCCCAATTCCTGGCTGAGCCGGCCACCCAGGTGAGAGTGGGGTGCCTGCTTGGGAGTTGGGAGGTGAGGGGGAAGGGTGTGGACTGCAGTGGGGGGGCCGCCTGCCAGACCCAGGGCTGATCCTGCCCACAATCTCGCCATGAACAGGCTGAGGCTGAGGAACAGCTCCGTGTACCACCACTGAACCCCCAGACCTGCCTCCTGGGCTCAGAGGAGAATCTAGCACTTTTGACAGGAAAGAAGGCAGTAGTCCCCAGGAATGACCCAGTGTCCCCAGTCATGGCCCGGAGCAGAGACTCTGAGAAAGATGATCGTTCCAAAGAGGAGAAGGCATTGGCATTAGATGCTGCAGCCTTGGTGGATGGTAAAGGTGGGGCTGGAGGTGGGCAGGCAGAGCTCTAGTTTGGGTTGCAAGGTTGGTGGGTGGGTAGGAAGTAGAATAGGAACGGGCTGGAACCTGTGCTGGGTGGTGCTGAGATGTGGTCTCAACATAGAGCCCAAGTCCATGGTGAACCTGGCATTTGTCAAGAATGACTCATATGAGAAGGGGCCGGACTCAGTGGTGGTGCACGTGTACGTGAAGGAAATCTGCAGGGACACATCTCGAGTGCTTTTCCGCGAGCAGGACTTCACGCTTATCTTCCAGACCAGGTGGGTGGGTGGGCAGACACATAGGGCAGACAGTGTGCTTCAGGCAGGACAGTGCATCTCATGTTCTTTCTGCTGCCCTCTGCCCCTGCTCTGCCTCTACAGGGACAGAAACTTCCTGAGACTGCACCCGGGCTGTGGGCCCCACACCATCTTCCGTTGGCAGGTGAAGCTCAGGTGGGTGGTGCCCGGCCCCGCCACTGTGCAAGTCCCACCCTGGGCTCCATCCCCCTGACCTATCTAGCCCTGCATCCCCTCCACCTAAGTTTCTGAGTTTAGCCTCTTCCTGCAGGAACCTGATCGAGCCAGAGCAGTGCACCTTCTGCTTCACGGCCTCTCGCATCGACATCTGCCTCCGCAAGCGGCAGAGTCAGCGCTGGGGGGGCCTGGAGGCCCCAGCTGCACGAGGTCTGCACACGAGCTCCCTTCATTGCCCAGTCCTCATGACCCAGACCCCCACCCCGTGCCACATGCTGCTAACCACCAGCCCCACCATTCCCCCTTTTTAAGGTGCAGTGGGTGGTGCAAAGGTAGCCGTGCCGACAGGTCCAACCCCTCTGGATTCAACCCCGCCGGGAGGTACCTCCCACCCCCTGACAGGCCAGGAGGAAGCCCGAGCTGTGGAGAAGGAGAAACCCAAGGCTCGATCTGAGGACACAGGCCTAGATGGTGTGGCAGCCCGCACCCCCATGGAGCATGTAGCCCCAAAGCCAGAGCCACACCTGGCATCGGTGAGAATCCTTGGTGGGGAGGGCCGAGGATGAAGGCTGGAGAGCCCAGGGCTGCTCTCTCATGCTCCTCTTGCTCCCACAGCCCAAGCCCACATGTATGGTGCCTCCAATGCCCCATAGCCCGGTGAGTGGAGATAGCGTGGAGGAAGAGGAGGAGGAAGAGAAGAAGGTGTGTCTGCCGGGCTTCACTGGCCTTGTCAATCTAGGCAACACCTGTTTCATGAACAGCGTCATCCAGTCTCTGTCCAATACTCGGGAGCTGCGGGACTTCTTCCACGGTGAGAACGGGGGCTTAGAGCCCCGGGGATGGGGGATATCTTCCCTTGCTCACAGCTCTCCTTCGTTGCTGTCCCTAGACCGCTCCTTTGAGGCCGAGATCAACTACAACAACCCACTGGGGACTGGTGGGCGTCTGGCCATCGGCTTTGCTGTGCTGCTCCGGGCGCTGTGGAAGGGAACCCACCATGCCTTCCAGCCCTCCAAGTTGAAGGTGATCTGTGGCCACTCCTACCCTTGGCTGGAGAGGGTGGGAAGGGCCAGCCAGCTGGGTACATGGTGGGCGCTGGGGCTCCATGCTCACATCCTGCCCCTGCTTCCAGGCCATTGTGGCGAGCAAGGCCAGCCAGTTCACGGGCTATGCACAGCATGATGCCCAGGAGTTCATGGCTTTCCTGCTGGATGGGCTGCACGAGGACTTGAACCGTATTCAGAATAAGCCGTACACGGAGACCGTGGACTCAGATGGGCGACCTGATGAGGTCAGAGTTGGGGGCGGAGGTGGGCATGTCTCAGGCACGTCCCCGTCCCCAGGTCTCCTCGGTTCTCACCACTCTGCTCCTCAGGTGGTAGCTGAGGAAGCCTGGCAGCGGCACAAGATGAGGAATGACTCTTTCATCGTAGACCTATTTCAGGGACAGTACAAGTCGAAGCTGGTGTGCCCCGTGTGTGCAAAGGTGTGACGGATTCTCCTAGAAAGACACCCCAAGCTTGTCCTAGCTAGCCTGGTCAGAATGGGGTCAGAGGCATGTGCATCTTTAGGTGTTGCAGGGCAAGATTTGGGCAAAGAAGGTGAGGGGGAGGCCTTAGGCCCTGTGTGGGCTGCACAGGTCAGGCTTGGTAGGCTTCCTGATCGAGGTAAAAGTGATGTTTGGGTGATGTAAGTTGGGGTGAGGATGGGTAAGATTGGAAAGACACAAGGTGTGCAAATGAGAGGCAGATGGTTAAAGCGGCTTGGCTGAGGAAGGCCTCAACTACCAGAAACAGGGATTGTTCTCTCCTAATGGTTCTCCTGGTCCATCTAGTGTTGTCAAGCCTGAGAATTTGCTGGTTGGCTGTGAGACCCTGAGAGCCATCCAAGGGCGTGGGTTGGGCTCTCAGGGCCCAAGCATCCTGCCCCCCACTCCCTCTGTGGCCACCCAGTGGCAACTGTACATTTGCAGGTCTCCATCACTTTTGACCCGTTCCTGTACCTGCCGGTGCCCTTGCCACAGAAGCAAAAGGTTCTCCCCATCTTCTATTTTGCCCGGGAGCCCCACAGCAAACCCGTCAAGGTGAGAAGTAAGCCCGTATTGCTGGGCTTTCGCAGAGACCCTGGCCTACCTCCCACCATGGATTCTATACTCTTGTCATCACAGTTTCTGGTGAGCATCAGCAAGGAGAACTCCAGTGCAAGTGAAGTGTTGGACTCCCTGTCTCAGAGTGTCCACGTGAAGCCTGAGAACCTGCGTCTGGCTGAGGTGTGTCTGTCTTTCCAAGGCTCTTACGCGCATGGACAGATGTCTGTGTTTGCAGCACGCAGATACGTGTGTACAATCATTAGCATCTGTATGTGTACACACAAACGTGCATGTGACTGCACAGAGACAGGTGGGGTGCTATTGGTTGAGACACGGTTGAAACCAGGCATTTGGGCTATGTAACTGAGGTGTCCTCAATTCCCAGCCATCATCTGGATTTATTCCCCCTTTTGTTGTTGGCCCCCAGCTGCTCTTCCTTCTTCAGACAAGGAGCTTGAGCTGCAGGACTAGCCATCCACCAGCTATAGACGTTCTCCATCCCTTCTGCTTTTCCCTCCTGTTTTCCCAGATCTGTGTGCCGGTTTTCCCCAAAAGTTCCTAGCCTGCTGCCTGGTAGTGTCCTTTACCTCGGGGGTAGAGGTAGGGAGATGCCTCCTTGAATGTGGCCCCTTCTTAGTAACCATGGTGCAGTCTCAACAGGGCCCACTGGCTGACAGCCAGGTAGAGGCCCTTGGTGTGGAGAGCTGGTATGGTTGATAGCTGCCCCAGTCCCGGTCTTTTCATGCTCTGTGATGCACCAGGCTCCTTATTCCATTGGGCACTGAGGCTGGAGCCAGCAGAGGCATATACTTCTTTTGGGCCACAATCCCCAACCCTGCCCCCATTGACCCAAGATCAAGGTCATATCTTCATCTTGTGCTTTGGGGCAGGGCCAGGGAAAGGGCTTGTCCTCACATAGGATCTGTGTGTTCTCTGTCCCCAGGTGATTAAGAATCGCTTCCACCGTGTGTTTTTGCCCTCCCACTCACTGGACACTGTGTCACCTTCCGACACACTCCTCTGCTTCGAGCTCCTACCCCCAGAGTTGGCTAAGGAGCGGGTGGTGGTGCTAGAGGTGCAGCAGGTGAGTGGGGGCCAACCTGGTGGCACAGGGCCCTGATGGGGGAAGGGGGCGTTCCCGCCTGGCCTGGCCTCACTGAGGCAAACGACCCACCCTAGCGCCCCCAGGTGCCCAGCATCCCCATCTCCAAGTGTGCAGCCTGCCAGCGGAAGCAGCAGTCAGAGGATGAGAAGCTGAAGCGCTGTACCCGTTGCTACCGTGTGGGCTACTGCAACCAGTGAGGACTCCCGTGGTCTCCCCCCGTCCCTCCTCTCCACCTTCCACTTGCTGCCCTACCTCTTCTCCACATAAAGGCACATATATTTTAAGCCCTCTACCTGCCACCCCACTCTACCAGACCCTGGGGGAGGCAGGGCTGGCATACCCAGTTCCTTGGTCTAGCCCTAGTGTAGAGGTGGGGCTAAGGCCCTAGTCTTACCTCCTCCTTCTCTCCAGGCTCTGTCAGAAAACCCACTGGCCTGACCATAAGGGCCTCTGCCGCCCTGAGAACATTGGCTACCCCTTCCTGGTCAGTGTACCTGCCTCACGCCTCACTTATGCCCGTCTTGCTCAGCTGCTAGAGGGATATGCCCGGTAAGTGCCCAGTGGTTGGATTAAGGTGGGGTAGGTGGGGGGTGGGGGTGGAGTGCAGAGGTGCCAGACACGTTGGTCTGGATTCTTACTTGCTTTTGCTGCCTGTTACCAGGTACTCTGTGAGTGTGTTCCAGCCACCCTTCCAGCCTGGCCGCATGGCCTTGGAGTCCCAGGGCCCTGGCTGCAACACACTGCTGTCCACTAGCTCCCTGGAGGCTGGGGACAATGACAGGGACCCTGTTCAGCCACCGGAGCTCCAGATGGTGACCCCTGTGGCTGAGGGGGACACAGGGGTCCCCCGGGCCTGGGCATCCCCTGATCGGGGCCCTGTGCCCAGCACCAGTGGAGTTGCTTCTGAGATGCTGGCCAGTGGGCCCATTGAAGTTGGCTCCTTGCCTCCTGGTGAGAGGGTGTCCCGGCCTGAAGGTAAAAGTCTGGTGAAAGGCTCTGGAGCTGAGGTAGGGGAGGTTGGAGGAAGCTTGTTTAGGCTCTGGTAGACAGGAAAGCTCTGATTATCATGTTCTTTCACAGCTGCTGTGCCCGGGTACCAACACCCAAGTGAAGCCATGAATTCCCACACACCCCAGTTCTTTATCTATAGAATTGATGCATCCAGCCGAGAGCAGCGGCTAGAGGACAAAGGTGTCTGAGGCCGTGGGAGGGACCCCTGGCGTGGGTTGGGCTGGCTGCTCTCCACAGCTGCATGATTCCCTTCCCTGCCCGTTTTCAGGAGACACCCCACTAGAGCTGGGTGATGACTGCAGCCTGGCTCTAGTCTGGCGGAACAATGAGCGCCTGCAGGAGTTTGTGTTGGTAGCCTCCAAGGAGCTGGAATGTGCTGAGGATCCAGGCTCTGCTGGTGAGGCTGCCCGTGCTGGCCACTTCACTCTGGACCAGTGTCTGAACCTCTTTACGCGGCCTGAGGTGCTGGCACCTGAGGAGGCTTGGTGAGGACAGGGCAGCAGGCAGGTAGTGGGGAAGAGTAGAGTGGAGGTCTCTTGGTCTTGACTCCGCCTCTGTCCCCTGTCAGGTACTGCCCGCAGTGCAAACAACACCGCGAGGCCTCCAAGCAGCTGTTGTTGTGGCGCCTGCCGAATGTGCTTATCGTGCAGCTCAAGCGCTTCTCCTTTCGCAGTTTCATCTGGCGTGACAAGATCAATGACTTGGTGGAGTTCCCTGTTCGGTGAGCAGTAGGCTCTTGTGACTGTAGTCAGGGCATGGGGGCCAAGGTCGGCATCCAGGGCACCTGTTGACTGTCTCACCTCTCGCTGGCTGGTACCACAGGAACCTGGACCTGAGCAAGTTCTGTATCGGTCAGAAAGAGGAGCAGCTGCCCAGCTATGACCTGTACGCTGTCATTAACCACTATGGAGGCATGATCGGTGGCCACTACACTGCCTGTGCGCGCCTGCCCAATGATCGCAGCAGCCAGCGCAGCGACGTGGGTGAGGGCACACACAGCCAGAGGCTAGATGGTAGGGTTGTTGGTGCAGGGTATGTTCACACTCTTCCCACCTTGCCATAGGCTGGCGCTTGTTTGATGACAGCACGGTGACAACGGTAGACGAGAGCCAGGTCGTGACGCGTTATGCCTATGTACTCTTCTACCGCCGGCGGAACTCTCCTGTGGAGAGGCCCCCCCGGACAGGTCACTCTGAACACCACCCAGACCTAGGCCCTGCAGCTGAGTCTGCTGCCAGCCAGGTGAGGCACGGGGAGGCTGCTCAGGCTAGTGGGGCCCAACTCACAGATGGTTGGGGGTAGGGCACAGCTTCCTCTCCTACAGCCCTAGGCCCCTGGAACCTTTGGATTTTTAAGAGTCACAGACAGGGTTCCCTTACATCAAAGCCTTAGCCAGAGCGATTTCCAGGCTGCAGGAACACTTACAGAGGTACACACACAGCAACACGCTGCCATTGGTGTGTGCATAGGCTACGGGCCAAGTAGCTGCTCCAAATTTCACTGGGTACAGTGGTGTGAACAGACTGTACCTGACACCTCCGAACTTTCCCTCTGCACGCTCCCCACATGCTAGCCCACAGACCCTCACTTGTGATCGTCCCTGTGTTCTGATGTGCACTCAGGACAGGGCCTATCCAGCAGGCCATAGCCAATGTGGCCGTCACCCTCTCTGAGGTGAGCTTTTGTCCCCACTGTGCCTTCAGGATCTTCTGTCTCTCTTACTGACATGGGATGCCATAGGCCTGGTTGGTGGGCACATCCGAAACTCTTTTCTGGACTTGTCTCCTTGCTGTCCTCTCCTCCCTTGAGCCCGCTATGCTCAGACTCACGACAGTGATCAGGATCTGGATGTAGGTGGGAGGGAGCCAGGAGATGACTCTGGGGTTGGCAGCTGTGTCCTCCATGAGCCAGTCTCCTCTGTGGGAAGCCTGGGCTAAAAAACTGACCAGCTAACCCTCACCCCCACCCCCACCCAACCCCTGTGGGGAAGTTGCATTTCGATAGGGGAGCTTCTTGAGGCCAAAATGCCATCAAGATTCACCCACTGTGGTGCTCTCCATCTAGACAACCCTGCGAATGGCCCACTTGGCTCCTGCCTGTCCACCTCTCTGCCACTTGACCTGGGATGTAGGGGGTTAGCGCCAGTTACGTTGGGCGGGACTGTCATGGCCAGGGGTCTTGGGGACACTGGGTCCCCCTACCCCCTCACCCCCACCCTGGGTGCTGATGGCCGTTTCCGCACGCCGTAGGCTTCCCGGATTTGGCAGGAGCTGGAGGCCGAGGAGGAGCCGGTACCCGAGGGGGCTGCGCCCCTGGGTCCCTGGGGGCCCCAGGACTGGGTGGGCCCCCCGCCACATGGCCCTACCACACCAGACGAGGGCTGTCTCCGATACTTTGTTCTGGGCACCGTGGCAGCTTTGATGGCCCTCATGCTCAACGTGTTCTATTCTCTGGTATCCCAGAGTCCCTGGAGATGAGCTCGCCTGCAGGCAGCTGCTGTGAGCTGGCCTACCTACCTGCCCACCAGGCCGTGCCTGCCGCTGTGGTGGGGACCAACTCTGGGCTTGGGCCTTAGTGTGTGCATCTGAGGGGAGAGGGTGGGGACTGTGGCTCCTGCAGGGGCAGAGCATCTTAGGGTGGGTATCCCGTCCAGCTGTCTGTCCGTTTGTCCTGCTGCTCCTACCCTTGGCCTGGGGCTTAGCCCTGCCCAAGCAGCTTCCTGTATTTAAAGTGTTAATAAAGTGAGACTGTTCAGGCTGATCTCGTCTCTCTGTCTCAGTGCCGCTGCTGTCTGCGCCTGCCTTGGGGCCCTCCCTTGGGTGCCAGGGCTCCAAGCCAGCACCCCCGGGATGCCAGGCGGCATATTGGGCAGCCCCCAACCCCTGTCCTCATATTCTGTTGCAGGGACTAGGCCCTGGCCAGGCCCCCGACGTGGCCCCCACGCGGACAGCCCCTGAACGCTTCGCCCCCCCTGTGGACCGCCCAGCCCCCACCTACAGCAACATGGAGGAGGTCGATTAGCAGGTCCCTGGCTGGTGGGGGGACTGGGTTTGGGGGATTCCCCCACAGAGGGCCAGCTCTTTGATGCTTCTCCTTCTCTAACCTAAAGGACACTGGCTTCATCAATGGGGAGTTGGGGCGGGTATGATTTGAGGGTGGAAACCTCACTGGTTGGGACCTCTTGTCAACTTGATCCCCCCAGCCAGTGGGCCTTGGCTTCTCCAGTTACGCCCAGTGCTGTGTGATTTGATTCTCAGTTGTACCTTCCATTTTTTCTGACTCGCATTATAAACATTATAATTTTATTCTAAAAATTGTAATTTTTTTTTTTTTGCATTTTGGAAGTGGTTGCTGCTGTTTAAATATATTTTAAAAATAAATGACAAATAAGCAGACTTAGTCACTGTAATACATCAGGTGCTGTGACTACCTCCCCTTCCCAACGTGTGTGTGTGTGTGTGTGTGTGTGTGTGTGTGTGTGTGTGTGTGTGTGTGTGTGTGTGTGTGTGTGTGTGTGTGTGTGTGTGTGTGTGTGTGTGTGTGTGTGTGTGTGTGTCTGTCTGTCTGTCTGTCTGTCTCAGTGTGTTAAAGACCCTGGAAGTGCTCTGGTCTGAGGAGAGATGATGAGGTTCAGGCTCTTTGAGTCGTGAAGCCCCCACTGCCATCAACTCTTTGGGGCCTGACCCCTGCCCTTTGATCCCACTGGTTCTGGGTCCCACGTGGAGGCAGCTATGGTTGGTAACATTGCTGGTACCTCACACCCAAGGAGTGGAGTGTACCCCATGAAGCTCCAGAAGCTGACAGCATGGGGTAAAAGGTGCAGGCATTGGAGCAGCCTGAGGCTGACAACCAGACAGCAGGTCAGGAAGGACTTGTTGGGGTACAGGAAGTACTTGGGGGTGGAGAGAAGTCTCTTTTCTCTTTTTCTATTCTCAGGTCTTTCTTTGCTGTAGTTTGAAAACCACCTGGATCCCTTGGGAGAACAGAGAAGGAAAAAAACTGCTGTGGGGAAGGAGACCCTGCTCCAAAAGGACAGGCAGAGAGGACCAGAGCTAATCTTAGCTGGCTTCCTGTGGGAGGGAGGGTGTGGGGTCCTGCCAGGCCATTTCTTCCCTTGATTCCCTAAAACTTTGGCTTCTGGCAGCTGCCCCAGGCTGTTTACCCACAGTGGGTTTGCAGGCTTGTCCCAGCAGGCTTGCCTTGTGTACACATACCGCAAAGTCAAGTCTTGTGAAAAGCCTCCGTGCCTCTCTTCGTGGATAATGCTGCCTCCTCTTCTCTTCAACTGTTTGGGGTTAGAATTGGGCATCTCCAGCTGGGGGGAGATGGGAAGCAAAGGTACTCCTGAGGCAGGTGTTCAGG